ATTTTTTATATATATATATATATTTTTTATATATATATATATATTTTTTTTGTTTATTGTGAGGTTTTTTGTCATTTAAAACAAAAATTATTCAATCAACTCCATGTTAGGAAATAATATTTTTAACAAATATCAACACTACCAAAATTGCTTGCACTTTAGTATAAATGCAACACTTTCATTTATTTATTTATTTGCTCATTCATTCACTTATTTCTTTATTTTTTTTTTTTTCGACACTGCCACACTTAGATTTTAACGTTTTCACGATTTGACAAGTGTCGAAGAACTTTTATTGAATAAAATATGGCTTTGGAAAGTGACCTGTTGCCCTTAGCCGCTACTCAAAATGGGAAAAGCAAGAGAACATGCCAGTCACGTCAGGCAGATGCGTGTTGATTATCATGAATTATAGAACTGCAGCGACGATCGTAATGATTCCATCTACATGTCATCCAGTTGGTTACAGCACAGCCAGGCAGGAAAAATCCTGTTAAGTCCACCTTCCTGTAGCTGTGGCTCATCAGTTACAATCTTTACAGATCACTGCGTATTCAGACACAAGATTATTTTTGCCTCACCATGTCCTTTTATAACAGCCTCTGCTCCAAATAAATCAAATTTTTCTGTCTGCAGGGGGTTTTGGGCACCAACATAACCATCAAGGTGCTGTGTGACGTGATGGGTGACGCCTCACTGGGAGATCCTTACACCCGCTACGTTGCTGTGGCCCGCCTCATGATGGACACGTTCTCTGTGAAATGCCTGGACGTCAGCTTCAGTAACTACGTCAGAGACATGACGAATACGTCCTGGGATGGGCCGGCCGCAGGAGGAGGTGGGTGCATCCGCTCTGATTCATGTAGATTTGTTGCTTTTCACAAGTATTTATACTTATTAAACTTGTTTCACATTAAAACAACCAACTTTGATGTGTTTTATTTGAAGTTTATGCAAAATAAACACAAAGTGGGACTTAATTATGAAGTGGAAAGGGAATTCCCGTTTTTTTTCTTTCTTTCGGTATCAATCTGTATTTTATTTTTCATTATTGTCCAGCTTCCCCACAGCATGATGCTGCCACCGCCATGTGCTACAGTATAGATGGCGTTAGTTTTCCTTCACACATCACATGAAGGCAAAAAGACTCAGCTTTGCTCTCAATATGTGTACTATGGGTGTCAAAATGTAAACAGTGGGGTATGAATACTTGTAAAATGTTTTTTTTTAATGTATGTATGTATATATATAATATATATATATATATATATATATATATATATATATATATATATATATAAACAAATGCACTATTTTATACAGGATGTGTGTGTTTTGTACACAACTACAATGTCATGGTAAAACTTTCCATAAACAGCCAAAAGGACTTGTAAGAGCCTTTCTGGAGACATGACTGTTAGGATGTGGTTTTTGTCATTTAGTGAACCAAGATTTGGGTGTAGCTGAAAGTCTTTTTTTAGGTAATGTCTAAATAAGACAACAAGGTCTTATTTGGCAGAAAACCTAAAATGGGATTTCTTTACCATGGAAAAACCTCTAAATAAATCCATGGACAACATTTAGGTCAGCATCTTTGTCTTAAAACATGAATCTGTCTTGAAAATGAAATTTTAGAAACGTGGAATGCTGTACGTCCATGTTTGTGGACAGCCTTAATCTGGAATATTTTTCAGCATTTCACTGGATGTTATTGGCCTCCACTCTGCTTTGTAACTTGGACCGATTGTTAGAAAAATAAACTGTCCTCCCAGAAGGCCATTGTGATCCAGCCGCATAAACTTCCTCAGCCACCCTTTCAACTTCATCTGAGCTCTTTCCTCTCTTCATTAAGGCTGGATGACTAAAAAGACATGGTTGTTTTTTTTTTTGTTTGTTTTCTAATAGCCATTAAAGCTAAGCTTCGGTCTGCCCGCTCTCTGTTGTTTCTGCCTCTGTTTCGCAGAACTAAGTTGATATGCAGCAGTGATTAAATTTTTTATGCATATGTGTTGTCAGGGAGACAGTGGGTCTATCAGACCTGCAGTGAATTTGGATTCTACCAGAGCACAGATTCACCGAACCAGCCATTCACCGGCTTCCCTCTGGAGTGAGTGCAGCACACATTGTCTCTGTGCCTAATAGATTCATAATTATGATTCAGTACAGTGCACCTGCTCACCCAATCACCTTTTATTAGTTATACATCATGCACTGTTTAATGTATTCCTTTCTGGTTTTGAAAAGACGCTGCGTTGTTTACAGCGCTTGGCAAAAGCATTCATGTCACTTGCGTACATTGGATCTGCACATGTTGAAGCACAATGATAATATTTTATATGACAGAGGGAAAAAACACGAAGTGGAACATATGTGTGAAATAGAAGGGAAGTGATGCACAGTTTTCTTTCTTGGATCTCTGCAGCTCCTCCAGAGTTTCCATGGATTTATTGGCTTCTTCACTGTTTAATTGAAAGAAGTGCCACCCTGTCATTTTTAAGTAGAAGTTTATTTCTTGGTAGCTTTTAAGTTGTGCATCCTTTTCCTTCCACCTCACAATTATGAACTACTTGGTGTTGGTCTGTCATATAAAACTCTAACAAAGTACACAGTTTCATGAGCTACAACAAGGTTTCCCAGATGCAGAGTCTGTTTCTCTCGTTTGAATCCAGTTATCAGGTGAAACAGTGTGCAAGCTTCTACAACATCAGTGCTGACGAGGTGGCAGAGGCCGTCGCCCAGACCAACGAGTATTACGGCGGCTACGACATCCAGTCCAGCAGAATCGTGTTCCCCAACGGGTCCATCGACCCGTGGCATGCTTTGGGAATCACTGCAGACATCACAGCTGAGCTCCCTTCTGTCTTCATTAAAGGTGAGGAAATGCACCTGAATCTGCTACCATGTTGGTATAATGACTGATCAATCTGATTTATTAAGTTCAAATTTAATGAGCTTAAGGAAAAAATAAGAGTTTGAGGTCTGTAGATGCATTAGTCTGTCGGTCTATTTAGTATTTTCTGCTTTAGAAGAAGAAGCGTCAGTGATTCCGTTAATATTCAATGTAGAATAAAACAATGAAACTCTCCCTAACTAAGGTCTGAGACATGGTTTAAGTCCCTGTGTGCTTTGCATCTTTTATGTGTGTGTAAAGCAACACTTATACAGTTCATGTGTGATTCGTGTTCCACAATATAACGGGGAAGGAATCTGGAATATGAGCTATAATTTTCTCTGTGAAAAATATACCCTTAAGATGATATAAAACTTGGATTTCATTTTTTTCTTCAGCTCTTTGCTGCTTTTTAAAATGATACTTTCACTTTAGAATTACTGCATTGTGTTGGTCTGTCTCGCCAACTCTAAAAGAAAAACACATGCAAAATGTGAAATAGTCCAAGGGGATTAACACTTTTCCAGGCAAACGTACATACTTTGCTTTAAAGAAGTCAAACTTTGCTTTTTTCTGTTCTTATTTTAAAATCTGTTGTTCAGTAGCCTCCCCAAGCTCTTTGAAAGTCCCTTAAAGTTACGGCGCTTTCTGCTTCCCCATTCGTGTTCGGTTTCAGCTCCTTCTCAATGTTTAAAGAAATGTTCTGTGTTTATCCGTCCCAGAACTGATCTGTGAATCATTAAAGTCGGTAAAAGCCAGTAACTCAGCAGACGAATAAATATTGTCTAAATGTTTTTGGCAACTGTCTTTTAATTTTACAGCTGACATTTTCCTCTGCACTCCCATTAATGGCCATGTTTTTTCCCCTCATGCAGGAACTGCTCACTGTGCTAACATGTACCCAGCAAGGAGCCAAGATCTTCCCCAGCTATCTGAGGCTCGGGATCACATCTTTCTGCTCCTCCAGCAGTGGTTGAAGTAGTGATTGAAGGCTCCTTCGGCTTTACAAAGCAAACGCATCGCTTACGATTTCTGAAAAATCTAACTTGATTTCTTACTGTACTGCCAAATTTTCAGCTGCTTGAAGTCTTGTAATGCACCTTTGCACAAGTTTGAATTGGGGAAAGTTCTTGTTTTTAATGTGTTAAAATTTGAAATCATTTTTTTAATTATTATTGATATTAAATTTTAATTATTTTTACCTCTCAGTCCAGTGTATTGTGTGACACTGTAGAAGAAGTACATGCTGTTTAGCAGTCTGACAACCCCCTGGTTAGGGACAAAAAAAAAATGTTTACAAAAAAACCACATTTTTTCATGATATAGTTTGCTTTTTAAATAAAATATGTGGTATCACACTTTGTGTTGGTCGTACCAGTATAACTGATCATGCTGTTTTTCCATCTCAGTATAATTCAAACTGCTGAACATCATTTTGAAGTAGGAAATTTCTGTAGATTTCAAAATGTGGGTTATCACAAAGTTGATCAACAATAACCAATGCACACTCATCCTTTGTTTTCTCATGTTGCAACAAGAAGAATGGAGACAGGCAACATTTTAGAGCTGGGACCTGACTCAGTTTTTGTGTTGACGGGGAAACGTGGCCAACCACCATGCACCAGTACATGTCAAAAAATTTGAATATTGTGTAAAAGTGCAATATTTCTTGCCAGTCATCTCAGAAAGTGAAGCAGTAACTTTATAGATTCATTCAGATAACATTGAATAAAATATGTCAAGCTTTTACTTTTTGCAATTTTAATGATTATAGCTTACAGGTAAAGAAAACCCCAGAATTAGTGTCTGAGAACAAAATATTGCATTAGACCAACAAATGTCTAATTTATTGGCTCTTCTGGATTGGATTTCGCTTGACAGTCATTTCAAGGCTGTGCTTCTGCCTTTTGCTGTTGCATCTTTTCCTACCACTCTTTTTTTCTTCTTCCACTCAATTTTCTGTTAATATTTTTGTTTGCAGAACTCTGTGAACAACCAGGTTCTTCAGCAATGACCTTGTGTGGTTTACTGTCCTTGTAAAGGGTGCCGTATCAGCAGTGTTCACCCATGAATGTCTAACCGATTGACCCAGAGTCAGAGACTGTTTAAAGGGTCATGAAATCGTTGCAGGTGTTTGAGTTAATTTGCTGATTAAGGTGAGACATAATGTGTTTCCATTTATTATGTTTGTCACAGTATGCAAATTTTCAGATACGCTGAATTTTGGGTTTTCATTTTCTGTAAGCCATAACCATCAAAACAAGAAAAAGATAGTCTTTTCTGCTTTTTGGAAGTGTTCTATCGCCATCAGGACCATGATTTGTTGCAAAGACCGGATCGGTATGCACTGTTCCCTACTTTTGCCTTTGCCTCATTGTTTCAAATAGGATATTGCGAAAGCCTAGCAAGGCACGGTTATCATACAGGGCATGTTTATTGTTTGTTCTGGCCATCTCCTGAGATTTATCCAAAACACAGACATGCTGACCCAGCTCTGCTCTGCATTGTTTGTTTTTAATTCATCCCAGCCAGACACAACGTTTAGTCCAACATTTTTAGCTTGGACTAAGCCCCTGTACTGGTGCCTCATGCTGTAAAACTGGATTCTTAGGTTTTTTACACACAGTTGCTGCAAAAGTGATGTTTTAAAGCACATTCCTTCTCAACCAAGAAAAGTTACTTTGTCCTCTTGAAATCTGTTTTATGCTCACTGACAGAAAAATTTTAAAAGTGAATACAAGATAACACAAATACTGGAACTGAATCACTATTCCTATCAGGTGAATAACAGAGTTGGCAGATGCCGATGGTCTGGGTGTGGAATTTACTCAGGCCTGCTTGCAAATAGACTGTCGGATGATCAAGGTATTCATAAAATTGAAAGATGACATTATGCACCTTTTGGATTTTTTGAGGTTCACCTTTAGCTACATTAAATAATGGATCAGCAGGAGTAAGGAAGTCTCTGTCAGATGTTCAGCTTTGTGTATTGTTTTGTAATCTGTTAATTCTCCACAAATGTATCCCTGATTTGACTGGTTTAATTCGTAGTCTTCATCATACTGTTTATTCTTCTTACACGATTATGGGAGTCACTTTTCCTACTTGGAATCCGAACATTTAACTTCCAGGAAACGCAGTATGAACGTGCTTTTATTTTGGAGGTCTAGAGGAAGTAGTGGTAATATAACTCGTCGTTTGACGCAATAAGCGAGAGCGCCGCTCCCACTCCGTGCTCGGTTGTTTGACCAGAAGGCGGAGCTCAGTCCAATAAATTCCTCTTTCAAAGCAACGGTGAGCTCAGTTGTAGTGTTCAGGTTAGCGGGAATAAACGCACGTTGTTTCTTACGTTATATTACGGTCGAACCGTCGTTTCTCGATTGGACTTAAGTTAGTAACGGACCGATATAAGGTTGCAGTATCACCTGGGGGATAAGTCGAAGAACGAAAACGTCACACGGAAGGTAAGGAGAACCGTTTGTTAACTTTGCCCTCTTGAAATTGTAAAGGATATAGAATATATCATATGTGCTGCTGTGTTGCTTTAAGCTAAAGTGGGCGTACAAAGTTAACTTCTCACTTTTTTTTCTTGACTTTTGATATGCTAATTTTCTGTGATTTCAGTCTGCATTTTGCATCGATCAGCTATTTGTTTTAACAACAACCCACAAAGGTCTTTTTTATGTTTGTTTTTTTTTGTTAAAGCAAACAGTTGCCTATAGACGTGACTTGAATTGTTATTGTTCAAAGAGAAAGTGGGCTCCTCCTCTTGAGTAGCTTCTTCGACCCCCTTGCTGTTCTCACGCATTGTTTTAATTAATGCCTTGCGGGATGGTCAGGGTAAATTGTTAGCCTTTGTAATAAAATAGGTTATTTTTACTGGAGCAAATCCAATTTTTCTGGGAAATTAGCAGGGTCGGTCCCAGCTTTTATAGAGCCCTAAGCAGGAATTCATTTGGGTCCCCACTTCTTCCAGATAACTTCCCTGCCAGAGCTTTACACATAACTGCTCTTATAATGATTGATCTTATATATGTTTAGTATTTTATAAATTAGCGCTGATCTGGTGTTTTTTCCAAATCACCAATCTATAAAGATCTGATATGTTGATACAAAGTTTAACTAAATGTCATTTCTCTTTAAGAACTTTGAAGTTCCTAATTGTCTACTGATTACAAAACATGAATGCCTTAAAAATAAAAGGGTTCTTGTAAATATTTTCAAAAAATGATTTACAATCTCTTAAATAAGAACAATCTAACTCTGAAACTAAAAGAAAAAACTCAGCTAAAGTCACAACATATTTTTACTCCTTAATAAAAAGCTTGCATCTTCATTATTTTTTAACACCTCAAAATCTGAAACGTTGACCATCTTACAAAGTCTTCATTTTTCTACATGATCAATTAAATAACTGTAGTCTGAGATGATATTTGAGTGGAAAATGATCCATTACATGCAGCTTAGATTATTAAGGCATTCAATAATGTACTGTAGCTGTGTATGAGTCTTATAAAAAGTCTTTCTGCAGTTGGTCATTATTTATATTGGGAGCAGAGGCGATGTCACACTGTGGGAGTAGAAGGTGTTAAATGACTGGATGGAAACAGAATTTCCTTATTCTAAAAAAGAGAAAATGACAGATGGTGTTTTTTAAAGCATCTTTAGCCTTTTGTATTGGTTATTGCGTTCAGCATTGTTAGCATATCTGATTGTAAACATCAGTCCTGTGTGGTTTCCCTTTAGAGCAGGGGTGGGCAATCCTGGTCCTCGAGGGCCGGCGTCCTGCAACTTTTAGATGTATCCCTGGTCCAACACACTTGAATCCAACAGCTGAATCTTAACTGCACCTCCTAAGTGCAGTCAAGTTCTCCAGAGTCCTGCTAAGGACCTCATTATTTGACTCAGGTGTGTTGAAGTTGAAATGCATCTAAAAGTTGGAGACCGCCCTCGAGGCCTAGAGTTGCCCACCCCTGCTTTAGAGTAAGTAGACTCTTGCGTGATTCTGATATTTCTAGAATATTGACATCATTTCTAAATCCTGCATATTTCATGAGACACAAATGGACTCTTCAAAAGGGTTGAATAAAACAACTTTAGGTGTAAATCCGTTCGTGTAGATCAGATTTTTAGTATTCAACAGTTTGGAGAGAGTGGGAAAATGACATGGGACGTCAGTACTAAGTAGACTGCACTGGCTGCCTCAAACTGACTGTGACGCAATAGGTTTTTCATGACGAAGCGGTCTAGTCACCATATTTCCTGGTAAATATCACTTGAAAACGTCATGTATGGTGAGTCTTTTAGAAAAACTATTGGAAAACAAACTGCTTCATTTGGGATGTCTGGGCATGTTTTACACACAGCCATGACATATGATCACAGTTCAGACACAACCAGCAGACATTATGAGATAGCTGTATTTTAAGTTGTCCTTTTGCAGCGTTTCCATCTAATCAATAGATTTTCTTTCTTTTTTTTTTAAATCTCAATCGATCAATATCATGCTCTAAATATGCATTCGTCAACCTGTTTTGAGTGAAACTTCAAGCACTCTTGGAAACACTGAACTGGCTCAAAGCAGCAACTTATTTCTATTACTTTTGGGGCTGACCCTGATCTTGAGTTTCCCATTAAAGGTGTCCCTTTAAGGGGGCATCATTTAGTTTTTTCCTTGAGGAAAGATAAATTATCATCTAAAAGGCAAACAAGCCAATCATGTAGGTGTTACACAAGACAAGCAGCAATATTTGCAGTAAAGCTGAGCGTCCTTTCATTGCTCATCACCGGCAGGCATTAAGTCTAGCTCTTGTGACCATATTTACTTTGCTTTGATCAGTGGAGCAGGCTGAAACAGATTTCCTAAGATGGCCCTAAAGATTTAGTGTAGCCTAGTAAAACAGAAAACCTTTTAATGTGGGTCTGTTCTCATCACTCTGATTCAGCTGTGCTAAATAAAAGGTTTTGCTCCTCAAAGGATGATGAGCGCTTGCGATAATTAACTATTACCAAGAAAACCGGAGTGAGTTATGTGAAAGGAATGAGTGGCCATGGAGACTTTGAGGAATGCAAGTTGTGGTAGATTCATGTTTGTTCTATGAGGAGCAGCATAATCAAATAACCTCATTCATTGCTTTTATTTCTCTTTCAAGGTACTTCTGAGAACAAAATGAAGCACGTCTCCTTCCTTTGCCTGTATGCACTGGTGACCCTTTGCGCCCATGAGGGTGTGCTGTCCGCAGCCCCCTCATATGGCGAACGCGGCTCCGATCTGGGCATACAGGTGTTCCAGCAAGTAGTCCGCTCAAAGCCTCTAGAGAACGTGGTGCTTTCACCCCATGGAGTGGCTTCGATCCTCGGCATGCTGCTGCCCGGAGCCCAGGGGGAAACGAGGAAGCAAATCATCAGTGCACTGCGATACAAGAAAAACGGTGTGGAGGGACAGAAGAATTTGGTGTTGAGTCCTTTATGATCTGAAATCACTATTATTTAATATCAATCCAAAGATTAAATACACTTGTTGTGCACAGGTCCTTATAAGATGTTGAAGAAGCTGCACAAAAATCTGACTTCCAAGTCAAACCAGGACCTTGTGCAGATTACCAACGGCATGTTCAGCCAGAACGGTTTCCCAATGGAGGAGACCTTTATGGCCACCAATAAAGCAAACTTCCAGTGTGAGAGCCGGAGCCTGGACTTCAGCAACCCCACTGCAGCAGCTGATTATATCAATCAGTGGGTCAGGAA